TTTTAATTAAATAAAGTGACACAGTTTAAAATTGTGACTCCAATTATTTTGGGAGTCGAGACTAATATATACTTTTTTCTTACTATATTATAAAAAAAAGTTTAGTGCATCTAAGTCTTGACTCCTAAAAAAAATTAGAGTCCTAAGCAACATTTAAAAATTAAAATCTCAATTTAAAATTCAAAAATTTACTATATTAAATGTTAATACCTAAATTTAAAAACTGATTATATATTTTAATATAATCACTTTCTAAATCCAAATATGAATATTTAATAGGATGAATTTTTAAATTTTGAATTAAATTTTAATTAAATAAAATAATATAGTTTAAAGTTGAAACTCTAATTTATTTTGAGAATTAGGATTGGTATATACTTTTCGTTTATAAAAATTATTAAAATCTTTAATAAATGCATAACAAAAATCTAAAAAAAATTTAAAATCTATAATAAATACTGAATAAATACCCAATGGGTCTTTTAAAAATTTAAATAAATACTAAATGAGTTTTTTAAAATTCAAACTTAATTCTATCTTATTATCTTACTATATTATAAAAATTGTTAAAATTTTCAATTAAATCTCGAATAAATACCAACTACAGCTTATGCATTTGGTATTGGTTTTGGATTTTTCACTCGTGAATTAAGCTATAGTTTTTATTGTTGCAGTTTTTTTTGGAACGTTGGATCAGTTGCATTCATTTGATTTTTTTTTTTTTTAATTATAAGTCAACAAGTAAGGCCCACAAGCTAAAATTGTTATTGGTAGAATTTTCACTCACAAGGGGTCCAAGCTACACTTGCCAAAGTGTCTAAAAAGACTAAGTTGATGCTAACATGTGAATTTATGACGGAAGCTAATGATACACATGCTACACATGCTCCTTCGACATTAAATATTGTCTCATTTCCCTAAACTCAAAAACTTACAAGGTAAAAACTCATATATTGTAAGATGAAGGGTAAAATGCCTCAAATTCAAAAAATTAAAGGGCAAACTATAAGTTTTTGCATCTATTTTTCTTGGTAGTTGATATAGCCTGACCACAAAATTTCACACTAATTTATTTTTTTAATAATACTAAACTCTAGTATTCTAAAATTATATTATATTTCAATTAATTCAGTTTTGATTCATATTAGACCTATTAGGGAAAAACTTTTTTCAATATTTATTTTTTTATTTATAAAACTCAAATTTAAAATATTATTTTCAAAAAATCAAATTATTTTCACTCAAATGAATAAAACTTTAGTATTGCACACTAATCTAACAACTATAAAAACCAGCTCTTTAGATAATTTTTCAGGTTGTACTCAAAATCTAAGTTCAGTTATTACTAATAATTATTAATTATAAAATCTTTATATCAATTAGACTCACACTTTAATATTAATGTGGGGATTTTAACCAATCCAATGGTTGTTCTTTTTTATTATTTTCCTTTTATTTTACCCTTCCCATCTTTGATGAGTGCGGAGTTTGAACTCAGAGTAGAATATGACAAAAAAGAAAAAAAAAAAGAGCAGATGGAATTCCAACAAATTGGAATAAAAAACCAAAATAAAAAACACACACACACAAGTCCTCAAACATAAAACATAAGAGTAATAATATACATATAACTTTTGTTGTATAATTTTTATAATTTATTAAATAAATTGATATATATAATATTAAATCTTAGTAAAATAAAAAAAATTAATTATTAAATATCATATAAAATTATAAAAAAATTTATTTATCAATCATTTTTCAAAACATAAATGGATGAGTTACTTAGCTAATTTTCTAATCTATGTTATCCAGAAAACAGCAATCACAATGCATGGTATAAAAAATAACTTACTTTGATCTTAAGATTCGCAAATTTTTAAATGAAGATAGGGCAACGCATGGGAGTCCACCTACAATGGCCTTCGTTCCCGATAGGCTCAATATAAGATTCAGCGTGTCTCATGGGATTTCTTCACTGAATGTAGCTGCCTTACTACATACTTGCAGACATGTCTAGGCCTGCACCTAGTATTATTTAAATATATCAGCATTTCAATAATTTTATTTCTTTATTTCAGTGCATGAGTTGATGTCGTTGAGAAAAATCTAAGACTCCACTTATTCAAATTTAAATTTAAATAAATTAAAATTAATGCTTGTATGTAAGTTATGTTGGGCTTCTTTCATGTAAGGATTCTTTTTGTCTGCAATGTTCATGGCTAATATAGCTGTAGTTGGCTCTTTGTTCAACAAATGTTGTTAAATCATCTACATATATAGTTGTCCAAATAAAAAAAATCTATATTTAATGATCAATTTGTAATGACTTTAATTCTTGCAAGAGTATTATAATTGTGCTCAGATGGATATTGATTGATTTGATTCCTGCAGCTGAGAGGCTAGGATGACCGCCAGTCTGCATTTGCCTTTTGAGCTGCAGCCTACATTCCGAGCCAATTAAGTTTTTCAATCTATTTTTTTTTTTTGAACGGATTTTACAAGGACTGGGTTCGAATCCAGGCTTGAGAAGGAGGAATGCACTATGAGTGACTATTGTTACTTGACTCGAAAAGTTTGGTGTAGTTTTTCAATCTATTTGAGTGTAAATAATTTTAAAGAATTATATTTGTGTCTGTCTTTAAAGGTAATACCTTAATTAATATCACCTTATACGGGATAATTTGCAAATAATTGTAAAATTAGTTTGGGTAAGAGCTTAAATACTCATGATATTAGCCAATGAATTTCTTAGACTGCAAAAATAAAAAGGTTTTAGATAAGAGGTTGGGATTTTATAATTTTTATTGTAATTTAATTCAATTTAAATTGCACATCGTGTATATATATAGGACGATACTATAGGGATAATTTTTTTATATTATATTTTGATATAACTTTTACATATTATTAAATGAGTGGATGCATTTAATATCACAAATTTTACATGAATAAAAAAATCAATTATTTAAATAACACATCAAATTATATAAAAAAAATAACACAAAAATATTGTTTCAAAATCATTTTCAATATATATGTTGGCGTAGTTGGGCAAGGAAGTGAGAAACCAATAGTTCTTGGACTCCCGTGAGGCGCATGCACTGTGCTTCAGCTGATGCTTCCGGGCTCAATCTATCTACTACATAAGGGGCATGCATAAAAGGTTCTTCTCGGCCCATCACTATGCAAACCATGATACATAACTTTATGAAAATCAGGACCAATAAAAAAAAAAATGAGACGTTTTAACATTTGTCAATATTCCTTATAAAATTATTTTTTATAAGTTAATTTATTAGAAATATTTTAACTTTTTATTATCATTTATAACTTTTAATTATTAAAACATCTTGATTTTCTTTAATTTTTAATTTTTTATATCTTTTAAAGTTTGTAAATAAAAAAAATAATAATAATAAGGTTTTTAGTTCAACGTGCTGATCATCATTTTTGACACTTAAAAATAAATCTACGAAAATTTGGAACATCTGCTGTGTTTTTGTGCAAGACTCCTTGGGATTGTATGGGGCTTATGCTACCAATGTTTGGGATTAACAGTGACAGCACAAAAAGGAGGCCCGAATCATCTTCTACAGCACACGGGCCTTGTTCTTGCTGGATTCATTAAGGAGGCTTGGACTATAGTAAGGTTCACAATAATGTGGTCTTTATGTCTATGGAGGAATCAGGCACTTTTCACCAATGAAATTGACCCA